ACAAAACCACTTCCTAAAGCAAGATTTGAAGTTCTCAAACAAAAGCTTGGAATATGCAACCTCAAAGTCAAGGAGGAGTGTTGAATAGTGTGATTTAAGATGCTGCAGATATTTCAGTTGAATGAGTCAAGAATAAGTTACTTTGAAAGAGTCAAAAGTCAGTTACATTAAGTCCTATTCTTTATGCTATTTTTTTGGAAGATATTTTATACTTTTGTGTAGCAGATTTCTCTGCAAATTTAGTTATGGATCTGCTGTATAAATAGTTGATCTTTATGCTCAATAAAATAAGTTTTTCCTCCTCATATTTTCTTGAATGTTTCTATCAACACCAACAATCGTCTTCAAGTTCTTCAAAGTTAGGGAGCTTTCTGAAGTCTTATTGAGCCGAGGAGCTGGAATCGATTTATCGAGTAAGTCCGTGACGTCTTTCTTTTTTTTTGTTTTTATTTTTCTTTTCTTTGTTTATGCATGCCATTTAGGTGGGTGTATTCTCAATTAGGGGGGAGAGTTAAGTCTCTATATTGCATGCATTGTGAATGTTATAGGAGTTGATTCGATCCTCTCCATACCCTTCTGTTTCAGTTCCTCTACGTTATGGAGTCAACTTTATGGGATCCAAGTGGGTTTATTGAGTCAAAACCAAGTCCGATGGAACACTTGAACCACTTAAGGCTAGATTAGTGGCCCAAGATTTCTAACAAGTGCAGGGTTGGATTATGACGAAACATATAGCCCAATAGTGAAGCCCGTATCAATTCATCTCATTCAATCCTTGGTTGTCTCTTCTCTGTAGTCAATTTATCAATTGGATGTCAAAAATACATTTCTTAGTAGCTACTCAAAAAAAGATATACTAATGCACCAACTATGGGGTTTTGAAAATCTAAGCATCTAAATTTTCATCTGCAAATTGCATAAGGCCTTTAATGATCTTAAGCAAGGCCCCCGTGCTTGGTATCAAAGATTTGCAGCATTTATCTCTCTCTTGGCTTCCATGCTAGCAAAGCGGGCAATTCTATATTCATTTATTGAATTAATTATAGTATAACCTTTCTTAAAAGTTAGGGAGTTTTATGAAATCTTGTTGAGTCAAGAAACTGGAATCGACTTACAGGGTAAGTTCGTGGCGTCTTTCATTTTCTCGTTTTTATTTCTATTTTCTTTGTTAAAAGCATGCCATTTAGGTGCATGTATTCTTAGTTAGGGGGGAAGCTTAATTAGGCGGTTAAGTCTCTGTATTGCATGCATTGTGAATGTTACAAGAGTTGATTCGATCATCTCCATACCCTCCCGCTTAAGTTCTTGTACCTTATGAAATCAACTTTATGGGATCCAAGTGGGTTTATTGAGTCGAAACCAAGTCCGATGGAACACTTGAACCACTTAAGACCAGATTAGTGGCCCATGATTTAAGCAACGTGCAGGGTTGGATTATGATGAAACATACAGCCCAATAGTGAAGCCCGTATCAATTCATCTCATTCAATCCTTGGTTGTCTCTTCTCTATGGCCAATTCATCAATTTGATATTAAAAATGCATTTCTTAGCGGCTATTCAAAAAACGATATGCACATGCACCAACCGCGGGGTTTTGAAAATTTAAGCATCTAAATTTTCGTCTGCAAATTGCATAAGGCCCTTTATGGTCTTAAGCAAGGGCCCCGTGCTTGGTATCAAAGATTTGCAGCATTTGTCTCTCTCTTGGCTTCCATGCTAGCAAAGCGGATAATTCTATCTTCATTTATTGAATTAATCATAGTATGGCATTTCTTTTGCTCAATGTAGATGACAGCATCCTCACCATCTTGTCTCAAAGTTTATTGCAGAGCATTTTTCTTAAGCTTAATAATTAATTTTCTATGAATGACCTCGGCATTGTACATTATCTTCTGATTACCATAGTCACTAAAAATAGAGAAGGCATATTTCTAGATCAGTCCAAATATGCTAAGGAATTACTGTAATATAGTCGTCTTGAAAATTTCAAAGCTATATCTTCACTATGCCAACTTCGGCATTGTATATTTTCTTCTGAGTATCATAGTCACTAAAAATAAAGAAGGCCTATTTCTAGATCAGTCCAAATATGCTAAGGAATTACTGTAATACAGTCGTCTTGAAAATTTCAAAGCTATATCTCAACCATGCCAACTTCGAGGTCAATTGCCTACTCTCTCTCGTAGCTTAGCGAGGGCCTTACTACCTCACTTTTGCTCGTTCCGACCTATGGTTTGCTGTCAATCAAGCATGTCAACATTTGCATGATCCCTAAGAGGATCATTTTCAGGCTGTTAAACACATTTTGAGATATGTTAAAGATATTACAATCATGGCCTTCAATTATATTCTTACTCTTTTCACACTGGCTACTCTAATGCTGATTGGGGTGGATGTACAGACACTCAGTGGTCCACAACTGACTTTTGCATATTATCAGGCTCCAACTTGATTTCTTGGAGTTTGAAGAAACAACCAGGTGCTCAAGTACTGAAGCAAAGTACTGTACAGTTGCTTTTGTAATGGCAGACTTGACTTAGACCAAAGTTTACTTCAAGAATTATCTGTACCCTTGGAGGCCAAACCGATTGCTTGGTGTAATAGTGCTATTTACATGGCTTCTAATCCAGTACAACATGTCTGATCTAAACATGTTGAGTTAGACATTCACCTTGTTCGTGAAAAGTTTCAATATGGACATCTAGAAGTTTGCTATATCCCGAGTCAAGAACATCTTGCAAACTTCTTCATTAGAGGTCTTACCTCAAGATGTTTCATTTATTAAAAACCAACTCTTACGTTATCCAACGCTCAAATTGAGGAGGGATGATAGATCATATATAGATTATATTTTGTATTTTGTTAAGATACGTATTACATCTAAGATAAGATTTTGTAAACTTTGTATAAATACACATACTCATAAATGAAATGACAACTTTTTAATGGTGAAATTATTCTGATAATTTACTCATTTAACAGAGTGGAACCTTCTTCTCCTCAAAAAAAAAAAAAAAAAGAAGAACAAAAGAACAAATTGCATCTGTTTTTCATTGAATAGACAATCGTGTTCGAACAAGGAAGAGGTTGATTTGATCTATGGAGCTACTACCTTGTATTTTAATTTCAGTACCCTTCTTTGTGCATGTGTGATTCCCCATTAATACCTTGTAATAACACTCTTTTTTGGGTACTATCTAAAATATAGGTTAGTCCTCAAAACTATATCAAGTGTAATGAGTTTCTAAACTTTCCCCAAACTATTGTTATAATATGCTCTTCTAACTGTCATGCTATTAACCAATTCCATAAAATATTAACTCATTTTCCTCCCCAAATGATACCAAACCCTTTAAACTGTAAAGTATAGATCCAAATGCAAAATGGGTTGGGATCAGTTAAACAACTATGTTAGAATGGAATCACACAAAAAAAAGAAAAAGATTTAAGAATCAAGACTGAGTTTTGAACATGTCTGCCCAAAATCCTTTTCTGTAAAAATTTTAGGTGTATAACGGGCCGCTATCACTTTTCTTATCAGGATGCAGTTCACCAACAAAGCACCACAGAGGTAGATAATGAAAATTTTAAGCTAGTATGTGCTTAACCTTTGCTTTAATGCCCAAGTTGACAAATGATAGCATTATTAACAGTCCTTAAGAATGATATCTGTATGATGGTTGATAAGTTCATTTTCACACAAGACTTCACCAAGATTGTGCTGCTTGATATCAAAATTTCCAGGATTATCACTATTTTTATCAAGATGCAGTCACCAAAGCAAAGTGTCACAGAGGTTGATAATTAACGAAAAAAGCAAGTGTTTAACCTTTGCTTTCATGTCCAAGTTGACCAATAATAGCATTCTGAACAGTCTTTGACAATGATATCTGTATGATGCAACATAAGTTCATTTTCACACAAGACTTCACCAAGACTGCACAGTTTGATATCAGAATTTCTGGTGGGCTTGAAAAAATAGAAGGATAATTTTGTGTTCCTTTTCAACTAGTATAAGAATCAACTTCATTAACTTAAAGCTAACTCGATTATCTGGTTCCTACTTTATTTGTAAGGAAATTATTAACCCAAAGGGTAACAGAAGAGAAGAGGAAGATGAAGGTAAGGAGACAGAGGGAAGACATGGACTGTAGAAAATGGTTTGATGATTGTTAGTAGGGGGGATCCAAATCCAATATAATAGTCTAGAATTCAGATTCCAGAAAGTCAAACAAATGATACAAATGTGAATCACATGTTTTTTCTTTTTTCTTTTTTTCCAATTCTTGGTTTAGGGATGGAAACAAGATCACATTTCTGGTTATTTACTCCTCATTTTGGATGGGACAGGTTGGCAGAGCAAAAGTTTGAAGAAGTTGTATGTGAATAGCAAAGTTTTTTTTACCGGGTCAGGTGAGGGAGCAGGCAAAGGGAGACAACCTACACAAACCTGCCCCTTACGACATGCTGATTCCTACTAAATCTTTTTATAATATGTGTTCTTTATTTTTTACCATACTTACTATAACAGTTATAATATACTTTGGTTGTTCTGATATTACATAGATGATCCAAGTCTAAAGAGATATAGCTGAAAACCTGAATTACTGTAATTCAGATGGAGCCGTTCCCTAAAGAATCGTCTTTATTATTCTTATGTTGGAAAAGGAGAAAACATTCCACCTGATTTAGGGATTGACCTCCACATTAATTGATGAATAGTTTAATGGAAAGTTACATCTCAAACAATTGCTGTGTGATGCACAGAAAAGGGCTTTTAGGATCTATCCAACTATAGTCTACTAACAGCTAAACTTTTCTTGCTCAAATATTAGACACTCCTACCCATGTTTCTTGCAAAATGAAAAACTGCTATGCTGACATCAATTTAATCCTTCATTAGGAACAAAAGTGGAAACGACAGCCGACATGTCTATAAGTATTTTCAGCACTGCAGTTACACCAAAAAATAATAAAGATAAGACGTTCAAATTCGTACCGTACTAGAGTTTGACTCAAGGTTATCTGCTGTTCCCATCCTTGTAAATATACGATCGACCACCCTTATGGTAGAGAAGCGAGCTGGAACATAACAGCCAATCTGGGCAAGAATAACTATAAGACATACTTGCTGGAGATAAGTGCTTTTTCCACTCCTGAGAAAGAGCACTTGGTGAAATCAGCAGAATAAGGACCTAAATCATCAAAGGGTACATTTTTAACTAAAAGTGAAGACAACACATAGGAAAAAAACAATTTAAGAACACAACCTAGACAAAAATATGTGCCTAGCAGCTCTGTATTTACTAAGGCAGCTACTTCAAGTAAAATGTTTGAAGTGGTTAGTTTTCTGTTAGTTTCCCTTGTATTTGAGTTTTACTTTTAACCTTGCATGAGATGTTATTGTTATTACCATCATTATGTTATTCTCTTTGAGGTAAATTAGCATACGGCTGGGACTCATCTATTAGAGGTGCTCAATTTGGGGAAACAGTTAGAATCCAGCAAGATTCTCTCAGCTGCAGTTGGCTATATGCTACTGTTTAAAGAAAATCACGAGCACAAATTCAAAAAGAAAAATTATTTGTATTTCCCTTTAGTTTCTCTTATAAGCTCTAATTTGGTCTCTCTCCTGTCTTTGTAACTGTTGCTTCTTCCTGTTCACTGGCCTGTTTGAGTCATTTCATATCATTTTGTATGAAAGCAACTTCCAGGTCACCATGCAAAAGGAACTTGATATAAAAAAGTTGGAGGCACTGATTGATAAAAAGCCTCAGCATTGCACCTCAGCATTGCCAATCGTCTTTCCCAGATGCAATTCCTAAAATTCAACCACATTTTAATGAAATTTAGCAACACAGCTCAATTATTAGGTAAGCTTGCTAACTGATAGTAAATTGACGCTCAAGTTAGGAATATGGAGTGCAGTATTTAAAATTATGTCTTTAAATAGACATACAGATAGTAACTTATGATAGGGATCCATCTATAGTTCTGACAGATGATTTTCTATGACATGGACTATATGTCTTGAAAACTTCCAAATTACCAGTCAGATACTCCAGAGTTAATAATCCATATATTAATTGATTCTTGCTGAGTAAGAGAGATATTTATAAGGTTACCTAATGAGTTTTTTTTTTTTTGAAATACAAGGTTACCTAATTAGTTACTGATCCAAAATCTATTGCTGAACTGTTTACATGTTGAGAGTGTATCAGCATTTTCAGGATTCAATTTCCTTTTTACTGAAGCCAGCTTTCCTGTCTGGTCATCACCTTGAGTTCCTGCTTCCTACAATGCCATATTTCCTTTGGCCTCTCTTGCACCTGGCTTCTACTCTGCAAATTCTCTTCCACTTGGGTTACAATTCAATTTCTCATCTGTCGACTTTCCATGAATTTTCCAACAGATTCTCTATTGTGTCCGAGTTTTCTGCAGTGGTCAAACCAAGTTCTTCCCTTTCTCTGTTTTGACTCTCTTAATTGTGCTTACAGGTTTTGAACTGAGAGCCGAGCTTTTAGAAATCTGGACATAATTTTGGGTTTCAAGTATCTATTTCTTTCTGCTCTCTTCCATGTGGACTTCAGTGACTGCTTCACAAAGGCTTAGAGTCGGTTTCGTTCACAGAATTTTCTCCTAGACATCATCGAGCTTGTGATTAAGCCCTGGTAGGAATTTATATAGCCATTTCTTCTCTATTACTTTCCAGTTCTAAAGCCCATCATCGGGGCAGTTCTAGTGGTGTTCCTTATGCATATTGAGCTGCTGCCAATTTTGTGCCAATGAGTTTAAATACTAGGTCATACTCATCTGACCCTGTCGCAGGTTGTGAAGGACGCTTTCTACGACAAGTAGCTCAGAGGTATTGTATGTTGCCATAGATAAGAAATGCAGTTAATTTATACAGCCTGTATATTTTATATTAAAAAGTATCTAAAGTCTGCATATTTTATATTTTTTCATGATTAGATTATATAACAGTAACTAGAAAGATATCAACCTTGATCATTGTAAATTGTTGGAAATTAGTTTTTTAACTTTTGTATATTCACCTATTTATTGAATGAAAGAATGACAGAAAATCATCAAGCTATTCAATCAAAATTCTTCTAAATCAAAAGTTATCATGGTATCAGAGCCTTAGTCTTAGAGTTTTATGATTTTTTTATTGTTCTTGGTGTTATTGGAGTTTTAGGTTATTGCAGATTGCGAGTCTTCATCTGTGTCATTTTTTATCAAAATATTTTTTTTTTGCTTTTTTTATTGAGGTTGTAGATAAAGTTTGGGTGGAGAGAAAGCTCATGTAATTTGGTAATCTTTCAGTTATATTGGGTTATTCATCTCTCTATATTTGAGTTAATTTTGAACTGCTTTATATAATGGAAATATCTAGTGACAAATGTGAATTTTGTGTTAAATTAACAGGAAAGGATTATTCAACATGGGATTTTCAATTTCGATTATATATCACTGGAAAAGAATTATGGGGATACCTTGATGGCACTGATCCAACACCAACAGATGCTACTAAATTGGAGCAATGGAAGATCAAGGATACTAGAGTGATGTGTTGGATCATTGGGTCATGTGAACTTCAATTGATTGTTAATTTACGTCCCTAAAATACTGTACAAACAATGTGGAAGTATTTGAAGAAGCTATACAATCAAACAAATTCAACTAGGAGATTTCAGTTGGAGTGTGATATTGAAAATTATACTCATTGGAATCTATGTATTTAGGAATATTTTTTTGATTTTTAAAATTTATGGGCAGAATTTTTTAATATAGTTTGTGTAGATGTGTGTAAAAATTCTCTTACTAATGTTTTGATTGTTCATGAAATTAGCAAGCGTGATTAATTGTTAATGAAGTTAGGATCATATTTTGAAAATGCTCGTTCTAATCTAATGAATCGCTATCCTCCTCCCTCATTGGATGTGTGTTTTAGTGACTTAATTTGCAAAAAACGTCTTCTTATACAAACCACTATTGAACAAGAGAAGATGACTACAACACACATGACATTTTTAGCTCAGGAAAAAGGTAAGGGAAGAGATATGAGTAAAGTTCAATGTTTTATTTGCAAGAATTATAGACATATTGCTTCAAATACTAACATATTTTGCAATTATTGTAAAAAGTAAGGACATATTATCAAAAAATGTCCTATTCGTCCTCAAAATCGTCAGACCACTGCTTTTCAAGCAACTATTGACAACTCTTCCAATTTTCACTCTCATACTGGGCCCTTGGCTGCATCAATTAATCAAAATATTGTTCTTACTCTTGAAATGGTGCAACAAATGATAGTTTCAGCTTTATCAGCCTTAGGAATTCAAGATAATGGTAATTCTTTATCTAAGACTTGGCTTGTTGATTTTACCACATCAAATCATATGATTGATTCAGCTAATTTACTGAAAAATATTCGCACATATCAAGGTTCAAAATTTATTCAAGTTGCCAATGGCAACAATCTGTCCATTACTGCGGTGGGTGATATTACTCTAATTTTTAACAATACTTTTCATCCATCTGAACTTTCTGATAATCTTCTTTCAGTTGGTCAATTAGTTGATAATAATTATGATGTACATTTCTCTTCTGATAGTTGTTGTATGCAGGATCAGGTATCGGGGACAGTAATCTCGAAGGGGCCTAAAGTTGGACGCTTGTTTCCTTTGTATATTTCTATTCCTAGTAATATTTCTTTAACTTGTTTTATTGGCATTAAAAATAGTAAGCTGCGGTACCAACGTTTAGGACACCCAATTCGACTGTAACGTCATATTTGTTGAATTTTGGATTATTAGGCAATAAAAATCAATTCTCTAATCTTTCTTTTGATTGCTGAATTTGTAAATTAGGAAAGAGTAAAATTCTTCCATTTCCTATTACTAGTAGTCACGCAGATAAATGTTTTAAAATTATTTATAGTGATGTATGGGGAATCACACATTATTTTTCATGCATTTTAAATATTTTGTGACATTTATTGATGACCACAGTCGGTTTACTTGAATTTATTTTTTTCATTTCAAATCTAAGGTCATTTCAATTTTTAAGACTTTTGTTTCATTTGTTGAAACTCAATTTTCTACAGTCATTAAAATTCTTCGATCTGATTATGGTAGAGAATACATGTTTAATGCGTTACATGAATTTCTAAATGAAAAAGGTATACTTTCGCAACGTTCTTGTCCACACACACCTCAACAAATGGTGTGGCGGAACGAAAGAATCATCACTATTATAAGTTACTCGTGCATTGTTACTTAAATCTTCTGTTCCACCTCAGTTTTGGGTAGAAAATTTATGTACAACCACTTATCTTATTAATAAACTACCTTCTCAAACTAAAAAACTTTGAGTTTTCTTATTTTCGTCTTTACAACAGCACCTCACTATAGACATCTACATACATTTAGTTGTATTTGTTTCGTTCACTTACCTCCTCATGAACGTCATAAACTTTCTGTTCAATATGTTAAATGTGTATTTTGGGAATACAGTCCAAATCATAAAGGTTTTGTTTGCTACGATGCTTCTTTTAAGAAGCTTCGTGTTTGTCACAATATCGTTTTCTTTGAAAATCAAATTTTGTTTTCCACTCGTGATCATTCATTTACTTATGTAGTTATTCTTCCTAGTTTTGATGATTTACCTTATTCTCCTCATTGGTTCAAGTCTGGGCATGTGTATGAACAATGTCCTTCGCAACTGCCCCTTTCTGATCCAGATCCGCCATTTGATCCTACACCACCACCCTTGAGACGCTCCACCAAAGTCTCTCGTCCTCCTAATTTGTATGACTTTTATCATACATCATTTAGTGTTGCTTTATCTTTTATTGCACCATCTTCTTACTCATAAGTGTAGAAAATGTTAGAATAAGAGTAGTTTAATATTTACTCTTTCTGGACAGGTGGAATGTCCACCATCACCATCAGAAATTGATTACGTTTGTTGCTTACTGTTTTTCTCTCACACCCTCACCTTTGGTGTGACATCAGAGCAATGAGTGCCTATAAATGGCACCTTACCCTCTCTGTTTTAAGCAAGCAAGAAAGAAGAGAAGAACCTCTCATTTTATCTCTCTCAAATTTTGCTTCTATTAAAATCTTCATGATATCAGAGCGCCTATGATTTA